TGATATCAAGTAAATATAATTAGATAAACCCATAAAAATGCACATAGACATGAGGAAACGCACGCAATAATAAAACATTTTGCGTGCCTGTACTACTAATAAGTTATAAAATAAAAAAAATAATTTGTTAATTATAGAAAGATATTTTTAATAAGCAAATTTTAATTCTTCATTGCACATCTAACTCAAAGTATTATAACAAATTGTGGTTTTTAGTTAAAATATAATTGACTTTTTTGTAAGTCAAAGTGCTTACTTCAAAACATATTTAAGTTTGAGACCTCAAAAATAAAGAATTAAATTCATTCAATTTTGAAATAACTTATAAATAAGTATGTAATTTATGATTTTAGAAATTTATAAAAATATTTGGTTGTTTAGAAAAGCCCTAAATAGGAGAACAACTAACATCGTCGAAACGCAGAAAATATTTAGAAAAATGTAAAATTTAACCCTTTAGAAAAATAGGTGCCCCTCTCAATCAAAATATTGAAGTAAATATAAATATATAAAAATATTGCAAAATCAAAATTTGTGGATTTAAAATCATTGACTCATCAAATTAAGAATAGAATAAAACGAGGATTTTATTAGCAACAAATAGAAGAATAGTTCAAATTTATATTACTATTTTAAAGTTAACAAAAAATCTACAGTTACAACATATATCATCCACTTAAGTAATTAGCGATAAAACAGTAATTTTAGTTATTACATTAGTTATAATCAACATTGATTTATGATCGTTAACAAAATGATTCATAGCTAAATAATCGATAAAGATTGATTAGATCGATCGGTAATCGTTTGAATCGATAATTATATCCATTCAAATTATATAAAACGAATCGTAACGGAATTAAGAACATAAAATAACTATAAAGTTGTAACAAATTATAGTAATGGATTTTTTTGTTGAAGTTTTAAGAGCAATCTCAACTTATTGGTGAGTCATGTGAGTTCTTATGTTGATTTTTTTAAAAGCATGATTTTATATATATAATACAAGGCAACCCAAATGGTCGTCTTGAAATTGTCTTGAGTCAATATGATAAATCTATTATTGCATTTGATTTTTTTGTTGATACAGCATTGTCTAATAATGATTATTTTTACTAGGAAACATTGCTATCTACATTTCAAAGATAAAAACCAATGTCACTACTGCTTGACATCAGGTTGCCAGAATTGTGTATAAATCCTGGTAATACAAATTTCTATAATCTATAATTATTAGACTACAGGGATTATATTTATTATATATAAAAATCTAATAATTATTTTGCTAATATAAATGTATATATCTATATTTCTTCTATACAAGTTGGTTTTAAAATATTCACAACTTATCATGAACAAAAGTCCCAAAAAAAGTGGCCGGATGTTCCTCCGAGGCATGCTGCCTGGGTTTATTTTATTTTCTAAAGAATTTGTTATTTTGTGATAAAACTATCTACCAAAAAACTCTCGAAAAAAAAATCTAGTCGCAAAAGCAAAATATATACTGCAAACATGTGGTGCCTACAGATAAAATTCTGCAAAAAACTCGAAAAAAATTAAGAGTAAAGTTGAAGTCAATTTTGGTACAAAAGAATAATAATAATAATTTATTTAATGAAAGTATATAAATCATTTAATTTAGAAAAGACATTTTTGTAAATTATGTAAATGATTAATTTGTTAACAGGAAGCCAATAAAAATAAAATCAAAGTAAAATGAAATTTCAAAAAAAATTTCGAAGAAAAGGAAAAATGTACTGAATATACGTATAAGAGTAAAGTCGAAGTCAATTTTAGCACAAAAGAACAATAATAATAATTTATTCAATCAAAAATTAATATTTGAGTATAAAGTGAATTCTTGCAATTTTTAAATAAATTATAATTAACAATTTAGATTTTTTTTTAAACAGATCCTATAAAAATCATGAACATAAATAATTTACTTCAGGAAAAATTAATTGATACAAAATATTACATAGTATATGAAATACTTAATTAAGAATGGAAATTTTAATATATTATTAATTAGTAAACATTAAGTCAAAGAAAATAAAATCAAAGTAAAATGAAATTTCAAAAAAAAAAATACAAAATGTACTGAATATATACAAAATTGTTCGTTATCAATCAAATTTAGCTTTATAGCAAAAAATCATCTATATCCACATTTATGTGGATTATATTATTTTTATTATTATATTATTATTTTTGTTATTTTACAAATTTACTTATTTAATTTTTGAATTAGTCCACCAATCAGAAACATTTATCAAATTTAAAAATGCACAACTGTCAGTTGTACAAAAAACTTTGTAATAAAATATTGACAGGGAAAAATTATATAGATGAATTATAACAATATTCTATTGAATATAATATGCAAGTAAATCATGAAAAAAGTATTTATGAAACCGTAATAATTTTACAAAAGTATTTATCTTTTTCCAGGCAGACGCAACACGCCCTCCAACGTGTATCGATTTATACCCCAAAAAGAGCCCTTTGCATCCCTCGACGTGTATTTCCGTGTATATTTTCGAGATTATTACTATCACAATAGTAAACACAGAGTACAACTGAACAAATGTTATCGAATAAAATCCTACACAAAAATATTGCATAATAAAATTTTATTAGCACTAAAACATGTTCCCAACTGTTTGACTACTGGTTTTGGTAGAAAAAACAAATTATTGATAATTTGTATTGAAGAATTGTTTTATGACGAAATTTTATAAAATTGAATGAAAAATGGATAAAATATTACTGTTTGATGCTATACAAATTTGTATATACATAACTTATTAGCCAAATCCAATTAGTCTTCATTTTATTTATTTTTTAGAATCATTGGTTTCTAATTAGTTTATTTAGAATTTTTCTGAAACAATTTTGCAAATATGAAATAATATTAATAAGCCAAAATTGCTATTTTATCTTATATAGTAAGCTAAAAGTGTGACGAGTCAAAAATGGCATAAGTAAAAATTCTAGTAAGTCAAAATGGCATAAGGTCAATTTCTGGTGAGTCAAAAATGAAATAAAGAAAAGTTCTGGTAAGTCAAAAATGAAATAAGGAAAAATTCTGGCGAGTCCAAAATGAAACAAGGAAAAGTTCTGATAAGTTAGTCAAAAATGGTATAAGGTAAATTTCTGGTGAGTCAAAAATGGCATAAGGAAAAACTGTGGTGATTCAAAAATGGCATAAGGAAAAACTCTGGTGAGTTAAAAATAGCATTGATAAAAATTCTAGTAAGTGAAAAATGGCATGGATAAAAATTCTAGTAAGTGAAAAATGGCATGGATAAAAATTCTGGTAAGTCAAAATGGCATAAGACAATTCTAGTAAGTGAAAAATGGCATGGGTAAAAATTCTAGCAAGTGAAAAATGGCATGGATGAATAATATAGCAAGTGAAAATGGCATGGGTAAAAATTTTAATGAGTAAAAAATGGCATAAGTCAATAATGGCGTAGATAAAAGTGAAAAATGGTATGGATAAAATATCTAGTAAATGAAAAATGGTATAGATAAAAATTTTAGTAAGTGAAAAATGGCATAATGACATAAGTTAAAATGGCATAGTAAAAATTTAAGTAAGTTAGTCAAAAATGGCAGAAGTCAAAAATGAAATAAATCAAAATTCTAGGAAGTCAGAAATGGCACGAGGAAAAATTCTGGTAAGTCAAAAATGGCAGAAGTCATAAAATATGCCATTTCAATTTCTGGCACAGGTGAAAACTATAGTAAGTCGAAAATGACAAGTGAAAATTTTAGTAAGTCAAAAACGAAATGAGTAAAAATTGAAATAAGCCAAAAAAATTGTAAAATGTCAAAATTGTAATAAGCAAATCAAAAATGAAATAAGCAAGTCAAAAAATGGCATAGATAAAAATTCCAGTAAGTAAAAAATGGCATAGGTAAAAAACTAGTAAGTCAAAATTCTAGTAACCTAAAAATGGCATAAGTAAAAATTGTAGTAAGCCAAAAATGGCATAACTTAAAATTGTAGTAAGTCAATGACATGAGTGAAAATTAAAATAAGTCGAAAAAGTTTGTAACGAGTCAAAAAATTGTGATTAGTCAAAAATAAAATTAGTAAGTCAAAAAAGGATGTATGAAGTCAACAAATTGTGATAACAAAGTCAAAAATGAAATAATCAAGACAAAAATAAAATAAGCAAGTCAAAAATGAAATAAACAGTTAAAAACTCCATTAGTCCAAAATGAAACAAGTATAAAAAATAAAATGAGTTAAACAAAATAAAATAAGGCAAAAACAAATGACGTAAGTACAAATTCGAATTGGTCAAAAATTGTAACAAAACAATTTTTACGCAAACGTTTTCAAAATTAAGAAAAACACAAAAAACTCAAACTTTTCTTTTTTCACTATAAAAGAACATATTGTGCATTATATTCTTGGAATATGTAAAAATAACACTTAATAGTGAAATACCTAAGGAAACATGCTCAAACGTACCTTTTAATACCTTTTTATATAATTTTTGGAAATAAATTTATTAAATCGGAAATCGTACCATTAAGAACATAATAGTGTTCATTATTATTAATGATCAATCATAACTAAAATTAATTTTAATAACGATTAAAATTAAGATAACTTTAATAACGATTAAAATTAAGATAATTTTAATAATAAATAAATTAAAATTTAATAAAATCATATATATTCACTTAAAATTAAATTTATATTGAAACGTGAAGCCATGCATATCAAACTAGAATAAACCCAGTCAGCCGGAACAATATGAATCATAAGAAAATTCTGTAATACTTTTAAATATATACCAAATAAGAGGAAAATCACCATTATCTATAATGATGTAATTATTTTCAAATATTCAAATAATTTATCAAATAATTATGTGGAATGTGTAAGAAAACGCAAGGACATCCCTGACAACAAATCATCGGGCCGGCCGGCCGGCAAATAAACCTTAACAATAAATATTTAAAATAAAATAAAAACTTACGTTACTGTAGATTTTCTATCTTCCAAACCAAGCACAAAAATTCAAACACTACAAAACTGCACTTATCAAAATTACAATAATCTATTAATTATTTTAATAAAATAATTTTTTTCTAATTATTCGATCACTAACCATCCGCACTCCCAGGAATCTAAACGCGTACTGCGACGAGAAACTCCGACTGATTCCGGGACGATTACGACGGGTGAGATCTGGAGCCGGAGATAGCCGAACGGGGACGATTCGATGCCGACTTTCTTCGAAAGAGGAAAGTGGCGGGGGTAGAAAGTTTTTGGGGATGGACGATTGGGTTGTATCGATTTTCGATTTTGATAATGGAAATCGATACTCGAGGTATGTAATATAAATTACCGACAATGCGAGGAAGTGTTTCTGAAATTTATATTCACATCTCTTGAGCATTTTACACAGAAATCGAGATGAAAATTTATGAAATTACTATAACTATAATAATTGAGCATTTTAATTGAATAAACAAGCCGTGTTAGAATGAAGGACCTCATATTTAATAATTTATATAATATAATAATCTCATATTTCTAAGAATTATATAAACTGAATAACAAAGTTAAAATTATTTATTTGAAGTACATAAGTGAGCTTTGGATTTTTTAATTAATATGTTAGAATTGCAATCACTATCCAAATTATGTTCGATACTTCAAAAATTTTTTTTGAGAAATTTTGAAATAAACATTTTTTTCTTATCCTTCCCAAAAACTAACCATTCACACTGTCAACATAAGCAAAATATTTTTTAATCATTCTAATCCGATAATAATTCATTTTCTTAAAAACTGTTATTTTTTACATTTTTTGCTCCGTATCTCCAAATCGTCTGGACCTGCCTTTGCAAAAAACTAATTAGCACATTTCTCCATCAATGATTTTTCTATCATTCTCATGGGATACTCCATTTTCCCAAAAACTGGTAATTTTCACTCTTTTTGCTCCGTATCTCTGAAACGGTTAGACTTGCCTTTGTAAAAAACTAATCAGCACATTTTTCCGTCAATACTAATCAAATGTTTTTTGAACCATTTTCATTGGATGCTGCAATTTGTTAAAAACTGTCATTTTCAGCACTATTTGCTCCGTATTTCCGAAACAGCTGGACATGTCTTTGCAAAAAACTAATCAGCACATTTCTCCATCATTAGAAATTGAATGATTTTTATATCGAACTCATGGGATGCTCCATTATCTCAAAACGACTGGGCCTGCCTTTACAAAAAAAACTAATCAGTACATTTTCCCGTCAATACGAAACGAATAAGTTTTTAAACTTTCTCTTTAAACTGTCATTTTTTTGCACCATTTGCTCCGTATCTCCGAAACCGTTGAACCTGCCTTCGCAAAAAACTAATCAGCACATTTCTCCAAAAATACGAATCGAATGATTTATGAATAATTCTAATCGGATGCTACGTTCTTTCAAAAGCTGCCTTTTTTTTAAATTTCTATATTCTGCACTTTTTGCTCCATATCTCCAAAACGGCTGGACCTATCTTTACCAAAAACTAATCAGCACGTCTGGCCAGCAATAGAAATCGAATGTTTTTTGAATCTTTCAAATCGGTATATCCGTGCGCCCGAAATCGTCGACAAAATTTGTATCCACATATACATACACATACATCAATTTTTTCTAAGGAATGCCAAATTGTTCAGAAACCAAACGTAAAGATATGCAAAAAATTTGATTTTAAATTTAGTGGACGATTACTGTAACGTACCCGACAAAAAGTTAAAATGTAGAAACTGCTTGTCCGATCGTTTCACAAAATTAATCAATACAGTCCTTTATCGATTTTCAACAAATGGCTCTTAAATGTTTGAAATCAGTTTAGCAATTTTTGAAAAAACGTCGATGAAAGGGCAAAAATTGGCACATATATACATACTTCTACCAAATTTGGTCTCAGTCGATCCAGAATAACTTGAGGTAACATAAAATTAGCATATCGGATTTTTTAGCAATATAAAACTTCTTTAGGAAATCTAATTATAAGTGAAAAAAATTATTTAATTTGTCCAAAAAAAAATTTGTACCACAAAATATGATATCTTAATTGCTACTTCATTTTCGCCCAAACCAAAATAAATTTTTGTTCATTAAAACAAAAATTGATTATTATTTTCATCAGATTTATTCTAAATTTTATTTGCTTTTTCAATATGTCAAATTCAAAAACCTATTTTACAAATTATTCGTTATAAAAGATTCCTCAAGAGTTCTTTTCAGGTTGTGCGTTTTTTTTTTAAATTATTTAAATTCAAATGTTTGCAAAAAACTGAAAATACAAAATTATGACACCCACAAAATATTTATAGATATGTTTTATCGGCTCCTTTTTCTGTCTTGGGGCAACCATTGTGGTTGATGAAAGTAATCGTATCTGAAAAAAATTATATTGGGTAAACGAAAAATAGATATAAATTTAATAACTAGGCGTAAGTAGCATTTTGCCTTCGGGCAAGTTCTCGATATGTGAAAATAAGCGACTTGGGGAGCAATTTTGAGATAAAATAGAAATGTTATGGCAAGACTATGTTACGAGTTTATCTTCGTATAAAATTGAAGTAACAAAATGCAGAAAAGTTGTTTTATATGTAAAACCTAACAACTTCACACATGTGTTATCAATGACACATCAGAAAGATGCACTCATGATAAAATTGTTATTAGACGTTTGTGCCTTTTGTAGGTTAGGTTTTATGTGCAGACCGCCTGAATCTGCTTTCGCCAAGAAATCTAAGTATTATTGCACCTACTTTGAAATGGGCATTTTTTCGGGGAATGGAGAATCTCCTGCAGATCTTAGTCTCGGCAGATTATTAGGTCCTGGCCTGTAATTCGGACAGTGCACATTGTAGTGTGTAGTAACTGTGGTTACTGTAGGTGACTGCTGTGTACTTGATCTTGGTGCATGGACAGTTTTTAGATTATCTGGAAAAAATTATAGATATTGAATATCTTATATGAAAATCTGAACTAGTTGGTATTGGTATTTTGCCTTGCGCGAAGTTACATGAACTTACCAATATATGTAAATAATCGACTTATTCCTTTCCTTTTCACATACACGCACACACACACGCGCACACGCACACCTACTTTTTCCAAATTTGGTCCCATTCGATTCAGAATGGCGTGAAACATAAAATTAGCAAATCGGATATTTTTATGAAAACAAACTTCTCCTTCGGGAAGTTAAAAATGCGATTCTGTTACATCTTGATATCAAGATAAGAAATAGCGCACGTATCTTTCGTATTAGATGCATTAGATGCATCATCGAGTGAAATATCCCATTCAGCATACAAGTTTATAAGCATAGCATATCGATATTTTTTTACTTTTATTAAATATATTGTGCAAACTAAACAACATACATCACAGCACATGACATATATCAAACAATCAAAAATTGAAATTTGTTCAGAAAATTTCCCAGCTATTGCTTAAATATAAAAATTTGCTATTTTTCTGAATTTTTCATCTGTCACAAATACACAAACAATTTTTCATCTGCCACAATATTTGAAAGTAGAGGGCAAAAAATATATAACCAGCAATCACCTTGATCCTTACGACGTTGCTATCGGAAGATGAACAAAAATGTTTGAAAATCCATAACAAAAGTATTTTTTTTTCCTTGTCAGTTCTAGTGAGCACTGTTGTTTAGTTTACAAAATCTTAATATAATTTTTAAGTATACATTATTTATTATTATTACTGCTACGACTGGTTACATATCTTTTGCCTTCTACTTTAAAATAGCAACGATAAAAAATCCATAATTCACTTGTTTTTGAGATAATGACGGTGGACTTTTTTAACCGTTATAACAAATACAAATAAAGTCAAGAATTTTTTAACAACAATATTTGAAAGTAGGGGGCAAAATATTTATAACTAGCCATCACCTTGATTCTTACAAAGTCCCAATCAGGAGATAAACGACAATGTTTGAAAATTTTTAACAAAAGTATTTTTTTTCGTTGTTAGTTTTTGTGGTCGTGAGCACTGTTGTTTAGTTTACGAGGTCTTAATATAATTTTTAAGTGCACGTTATTTATTATTATTATTTCACCTCGTGATATCGTTGTCGCCCGATTATTTACTACTTTAAAATAGCAATGATAAAAAAAATCCATGATTCACTTGTATTTGAAATAATAATGGACCTTTTTATCCGTTTCAACAAAAATAAGTGAAGTCAAAAAATTTTTAACAACAATATTTGAAAGTAGATAGCAAAAAATATAAAATCGGTCATCACCTTAATTTTTGCGACATTGCTATCGGAAAAAACAAAAATGTTTGAAAATCCACAACGAAAGTATTTTCTTCCCTTGTTAGTTTTTTTGGTCGTGAGCACTGTTGTTTAGTTTACGAGGCCTTCATATAATTTTTAAGTATATATTATTTATTATTATTATTTTATCTCGTGATATCGTTATCGCCCAATTTAAAGCGATTGGTGGATACTTACATCTTCTGCCCTCTACTTTAAAATAGCAAAAAAATCCATAATTCGCTTGTTTTTGAAATAATAATGGTAGACCTTGTTATCCGTTTCAACAAAAACGAGTGAAGTCAAGAAATTTTTAATAACAATATTTTAAAGTACGATCTTGCTCTTGGAAAACACATCAATGTTTGAAAATCCTTAACAAAAGTATTTTCTTCCCTTGTTAGTTTTTTTGGTCGTGAGCACTGTTGTTTAGTTTACAAGACCTTGATATAGTTTTCAAGTATACTTTATTTAATTTTAAGTTAAAAAAATTAAAAATAGTAAATAATAAAGTAAATTAAGTTAAAAAAGTACTTTCACAAGAGATAAATTAAATAAATATTTATTCCAATTATGCTGATGAATATTTCTGATAAAATACTAGATCAAGGTTATATGCAGTGTTATCTTTGTGGAAAACGTACACATAAAATTTATATTTTGGATTGGTTGAATAATGTGGATATTATTTCGTAAAATTCCTTTAAAATTAAAAATAAGACATTGGACGTGATTGGCTCTTGGCCCCGCTTATGGGGTGAAAAAGCACCAGGTGACAAATTTTTGAAAAACAGCAAAAAAACACATTTTTACAATGATGAATTAGCTAGGACTTATACTGAACATAGTTAGATAGTTGTTTGTTTGATATGTGTTAT